TTCTTCTGTGTGCTGTAAACTTGCTAAGATAAATGTTACCATTTATATTTTGAATATTAAGTTTGTCTTTATGTGTTCCTTTGAAATATTATGTACTGAATTCTATTTAAAATACCTACCTGCTATCTCATCACTTCCTTGAGAAAAGAGACTTGAAGTATGGACCTTTAAATGTAGAAAACCAAAGTCAACATTATTTCAACCAAACTCAAGAGGAAAAAAAAAACTATATGATAGAGTGATTCTTCATTATATAAGTTGGGGAGTCTGGCACCTTAGAACTTTCCCTGCCATCCCCTAATTCATCACAATTCACAATCTATCAAAATTCTCATTTTTTTGCTAAAAAATTCTTTTCAAATGCATCAACATATTTTCATCTCTTTAGACAATATCAGAATGTAAGCTGCACATGTCCATTTTTAGATACCACAGTGATGCCCTTCAAAGATCTGAACCCCTTCCCTCAAGATAACATCCAATGATGCCCACATGCCACAATCAGAGTGGACATTTTACACTGTCCATCAGAACATGTTTCTTTCCTTCCTAAAATAGATTAGCCTATTCATCCTGATTTAAGAATATAAAATAAATCACTCATTCTGAGCTAGAAACATTGTATGGATTGGCACTCTCTTATCTTCTTGTTCCTTCTTTTGTCAAAGCATTACTAGACCGTCTTATCACCACATCACCATGTACTCGCCGTGCGCTTCCCCCCACATGTGTGACACGTTTTACTCACTCAACTGGACTCTCCCTCTTGCAGCAATCATGCTGCTTCTTCTTCAGGATCTCCCCTAAGACACCACTTTCCTAGGGTAAAGTCCATCACTGAACTCACTGGAAATATTCAAGGCTCTATAAATCACTGTCTCCCAATCACCAGGCACCTTTCACTCAAACTTTGCTCAGTTACAACTTAATTTATATGATTATAAGATCATGGCATTGAATTCATGTAATTTTATTCTTCTTCTAAGAATGACTTATGGGTCTTAAAGTCCAAAACTATAAAAGGTAAACATTTAGAAACTACAAGACTTCATTTTTTCCTACCTGCTGCATTTTTCTTTGCTTATGTAGATGAACAATTTCTTCTCTATAAATTCAGTGCTTACTTAGCATTTTTCTGGATATTCGTTGTAGGTGGGTTGAGACAGAGGCATGTTAAGTAAATGGAAATTTACAATACTTCCTATACAAAAATCAACTATAATATGTACAATATATTGTGGCTTCTTTTCAATTTATAAGTAACTATCTTGAAGTATGGTTGATGTCAAGAGTCAGAAGACTTTTTATTTATTGTTCTATGTGCATAGGATATTTTATATTTTTAAAATTCCCCTAATATTAGACATTCTTTCTAGCCTTCATACCTTGTGATATGTTTCCCTAAGCGACAATTAAGTGAATATCTCCTTAAAAGACAAGTGATATGTTTAGGAAATTTGAGGGATCAATATAAATAGCTCAGAACTTATAAGGAAAATTTATTCATAAGAAAGAGCCCCAAAATTATACAATGAGGAAGGAATGGTCTATTTAATAAATGGTTTTGGAAAAAATTGGACAACCACATGCAAAAATTCACCTTACACATGTATTAACTTAAAATGGATCAAAGACTTAAACATAAGGCCTGAAACCAC